TATATATAATATATATATATATTTTATATATATATATATATATATATATATATATACATATATATATATATATACATATATATATATATATATATATATATATATATATATATATATATATATAAAGAATTGTTGCATTATAAACAGCAGTGTTTAAAAGGCAAATGCAAAAAAATAAAAAATTAAAAAAAGTTAAAATTTGAGCACTGATTTAAATGCAAATGTTTTTGATTAGATTGGACTGTTTAATAAATATAAAATGATTAAATTCTAAATTATATTAATAAAATATAAAACTAATTTACATAACACTAATACATCTATACAGGGTTGGCAAAAACCCGGGTTTTTTTTTAAAAAACCTGGCCCAGTGGGTTTTTTTGGGTAATTTTGGGTGTTTTTGGATATTTTGGGGTTTTTTTATTTTTTATTTTTGTTAAAAAAAATTTTTTTGTTTGTTTAATAATATTGAAAACTAATATCATCTCAAATTATTTTCAATAAGTTTTTTTTAATTACAGTTAAAAAAAAATCTAAAAATGTAACAAAATAAAAAAAAATCATGATAAACCTATATGTATTGATTTATTTTAGATTTAATAATAATATTTTTTATAATTAAAAATGCCAATGGGAAGTGGGAGAAAGAAAGCTGGAGAATATGATAAAGTGACTGAAGTTGAAAACAGTACAAAGGTTTCTTGTGACTATTGTCATGGTTTGATTAGTAACAAGATAGAACGAGTAAAACCCCATATAAAACATTGCCAAAAAAAGTTTAAGTTTTTACATAAGCTACAGAAGCAGAAAATCTCAATTTGTCAAAATATTTAAATAAAAGTTGTGATGATGTACCAAATAATGATTTAAATATTAGAGCATCTGCTCTAATAGCTGGACCATCATCTCAAGTTGGAAAAAATTCATTGGCATCTGTAAGTTCTATAAGTTCGTTAACACCTTGTAAGAAGCAGCGGTTGATGTTATCGATGAAAATAAGATGAAAAAAATGAGGGATCCAATCAAAGAAACGTATTTAAATCTTTTAACATATGGGTGTTCTGCACATTATTTAAACCTTTTAGAAAAAGAAGTAACGCACCCAGATGTCATTAAACATGTGGTTGAAGTGCAGAAATATTTTCGTAATACACATCAACCACATGTAAACATTATTTTGTATTTGTGGGTTAAACTTAAAGTATAAAAAATATATAAAAGTTTAAAATTAACTATTCAATTTTTATTTTAAGGGATGGTTGCGTGAGAAAGGAGGGCATATGCCTCAGTTACCAAACGAGTTACCAAAGCTAACAGTCTTCAAACCCAACTCAAAATATTTGGTGTTTTTATATTTAGTTATTTTACATAATAAGATATTGTAGGTGTAAAGGAAAAGTAATAAAAATAAATATATTATGTTGATTAAATAAATTAAAAATTAAATTTTTTCTAGATGCAAAGTGACAGCTGTCACCTATCCGAATGTGTTGAGTTGTGGCTCTCACTTCTGAATAACCCTGAACTAAGTCATTACCACACAGCTATCAAAAAGAGATGTAATGATACTATAACACCTATCCATTATCTTGCATACATGACCAATCTTCGCTTTTTGGGTAAAAATAAGTTTTGCTTAAAAAAAAAAGTTTTCCTTAAAAAATAAATTGTTTTCACACCTATATGCTAACCTAAATTTTTTTTTTTATAGACATAACCTGCTGATTGAAAATGAAGATGAGGCTGAAGAATGGCTTTACAATCATTATTCTGGTTTTGTACTTGGGTTGATTTTGCTTAAATTAAAGGATTGTGATGCATTTCCTAAAAGGGTGTTGAGCAATCCAATTATATCAACAATATTGTGCAGTGATTGGTGGTCTATCATTAACCAGAGAAACGAATGATCAATTCAGAAAAAATTGCTTGAAGGATTTTGCAAATTTATTTCTAAACTTCAAACGTGCCCTGCTAGCTCAGGATCAACAGAAATAATATTTTCTTTGTTTGGTTTTATTTGGTCAAAAGTTAAAAATAAATTAGGATGTGAAAAGGCTAAAAAGCTTGTGCAAATATAAAGACAGTATCAAAAATAGTTTAGAGTTTATGTTTTTACATTAGAGTTTTTGTTTTTACAATATAAAGTGAATATTACACTAAAGTAAAGTTGTATTAGCAAGAAGTATACCAAAAATGTAATTAGTCTTGTCAATGTGTATCTATTCTAAAAAATCTTATTGAATGAATCTAATTTGTTTGGTTTCCAAAATAAAATTGTGCTAAATAAAAACAATGTTGTGTTTAAATTGAAAATTTTCCTTTATAGCTAGCTCTATAATATGTTTATGTTTTCAGTGTTCATAATACGTTGGTTCATAATAGTATATATTGATAATATAATAGCTCATAAGTTTTTAGATATATTTCAAAAAAACCCAGATTGCCTGACTTTTATTGGGTTTTTTAGGCGGATTTTATTGTGTTTTATTGGGTAGGTTTTATTGGGAAGGTTTTTTAATGTCAACCCTGCATCCATACCAATATTTCCTTGAACATCGTCAATCAGTATTATTGATATCAACACTAGATTTATCTAAAATATATTATAAATAAAAAAAATTAGTTATCAAGTTATTAATACTATTTATAATAAAAATTTTAAATTTTTTATATTTCTACTTGAAATATGATTTTAAAAAAATATATAATTATACAGGATTTGAATATGTTCTTTTATATATGATTTTGAATATAGTTTAAAATGAATAAAGTTTGAAAACACAAGATAAAACTTAAATTTCTGGAAGTACAGTTTACTTATGCTTTTAATTAATAAAAATTTTTTGACCCGTTTAACTTGGTTATTGAAACTTATTATTCAATAACCAAGAACATTATAAACATTATTATAAAGCAAATAGCGATAAAAATAGCAATTATGTTATTGCAATTGATATTTTTATTGTTAATCATGGATACAAGATAGACTTATCAATATTAAATAGTGCTTTCCATTCCATGAAATAATAATAAAATAAACAAAAGGAGATCATGTTAAATAATTAAAACAGTTCAAAGCAATAAAAATAACTGGTTTAAAGTGTAAAAATAAAACTCTAAGAAGTATTGAAAAAATTTAATAATTATATTACAATTATTAAATTTTTATAATTTTTAATTTTTATATATTTCATAAGATATTATAATTATTAGAACATCATTAACATATAAAAAAAATTTATTCTCATTAATCTTTCTACAAACAATAATTTTAATCTATAAATAATAAAATGAGTTGAATTTACTAAAAAGGCCTTCAGCTCCTTCTAACTGCTCTAAAACTAAAGCAAAACTTGCTTAAAATGTTCTAAAAAGACTAACGACAAAACTGCAACATTTTACTAAAAAAGAAACATTGTACTAAAAAAACCAGTCATTTTAGTTCTAACTTAATCTAAAAAAAGAAAACAGGTAAAAAAAGAAATTAGATTTTATAATAATTACAAGTAGTTACTTACTAGAGACAAATAATGTTTGAATTTTTTTTTTTGAAAATTTGTTTACTTTTAATTAGTTAAACTATTGAATAAACTATATTTAAGTATAGAATAATAACCCGGTGGGAAATGAGCTAGCGACTAGCCAGCGACTAGCTAGCTTTATAGTGATTTTCTAGTAATTTTTTTTTCCTATTTTATTATTTCCTAATGTCTTTAACATCTTTAAAAATTCGATTTTTAGTGTTGAGTCTATTAAATTATGAGGA